CTGTGATTACTTAAGAAGAACCAACAGTTATCCCATAAACAATGAGTCAAGTATATTTGGTAAACATTTAAATCATGATTACAGGTGAAATTGTGAATGATTATTAACAATATCACACACGCATACATTTATCGTGTTAGCAGATACTAATTTTATGTTATGAAACTATGTAACATAAAATTTCAAATCGAATTTTAGTAGCCCTTTGAATTTCTTCTGACTTTTCACCTTTCTATTCTAAAAATATAAAATGCTCATAATAAATAGTTTTGAATCTCGTAATTTTAAAATTAATTCCAATCATGCACTTTTCACGTAATGCAAATGAAGCATGCACGTACAAAATGGCAAAATAAAAGATAAACTCTTTAACAAAATCAAAATTAAAGCAAAATTTTAATAATAATAGTATTTTGTGCATATATTGAAAAATATCATACTTCTCCATTCTAAATCTATTTCTGTCCGACTATTATGCAGTCAGCAAATTCTCTTCATCGCCACTTTAATGCTAAATGTATATGAAATGTATATTTGTAATTATCAAAACTTGGTTTACATTACTAATTTTAATTTAAACACAACCTCTTCAAAGCATCTATACTGCTTAGTGATTTCTGCAGAATATGCTTCTAAAGAATTGTTTATGTTCAGAAAAAAACTGTGTTCAATCGTCAAGCTGTAGAGTCATTAGGTTATTTTCGAAGCAGGAGAGGTGAAAAATGTGCAATGCCCTCGCCGGGCCTCAAACTTGGATCTCTCGAATATGTGCCGAGTGTGCTAGCCATTACACCACGAAGGCACGCAGAAAGGAGAGTAAATACCTTATAAAGAGAGTTGTGCTGCTTACGAAATTGAAGTCTACTACGCGGTCAGTATTTGTGTGCGGGCTGCATCTCTCTAAAACATCTCAGCTATGATTAGGAAGTGAATTGGTGCTTTCCCTAGTCAAACTCTCGTCTAACGTCATGTTCTCTGCAACTAAATAAATTTTCACATGCATACACGAATGCAATCCAAAATTATCATTACATAGATCAGACACCTACATCTACATGGATTACTTATGACAATATCCAAAATTATCATTACATAGATAAGAATCTATGTAATGATAATTCTGGATGCTATCATAAATGAGCCATGGAGATTTAGGTCTCTGATTAATCTTTCGAGAATCATGTTAATTGAAGGATATTTCGTTGAATGAAACAGAGATAAGTAATACAAAACTCAAAACATGTTTAAACCTGCTGATTACACATCTATGAGTATGCGTCGTATGTGCATATTTATATTATAGTAATAAGCGCCAGAGGAGAGAAATGGTGGTCAACATTTCAAAATTAGGATTTTCTTATGTATTCCTACCCTTCAAAGAGAAAAGCATTGGTAACAGAAAAACGTTTTGGGGAAAAATCTGTAAAGCATTAGATCATGAAGGTAAATATTATTGTACGATATTTAACTTTAGATATTCAATGCAACTTGAAAAATATTAATTTTCGCTTTGAAAGAAAAAGCAGTAAAATTAATTCACAGTTTCTGAAGTTCCTATTACCGTGAGTTTCTTCTTTGTACACTTTTCTATACTAAAAATAATCAAATTACTTAAAAATAGACCAATGAAAATTACAACTAAAAGTATAAAATCGTAAACTATATACATCAAATTATGTTTCGCTGAACACGAATTTATAGTATTCATAAAAATTTCTCTTGAAATGTCATAAAAACTGTTCTAAATATCTGCATTCTTGTATCGATACTTTCTAAGAACAGTACGAAAGGCCTTGGAGCATTTGTTTGTATAATTATCTATAAATTCCTCTTTTCGTAATTTTTGCATGAAAATCACAAGGTAATATAAAAACATGGATAATATAAAAATAATTGCATGTAACAGTCAGTAATAATATGAAATAACGATACCATAAAATCACATAAATATTTTATATGTTCATCAAATATAATACAACACTTATTTATTCAAAATACTGTAAGAAATATTCAAATTCTATGGTGTATAATGATATAAATTCTATGGTGTATAATGATAAAATTTTTTAGTATAATTGTCATCAGAAAGATAACTAGATCATGAGGGAAAATGTGGAAGTAAATTACAGGAACCTGCACTGCAGTATCTCAAAATATCATCCAAAATTGTTTACTCTATGCCTTGCTGTGTAGAGGGTAACGTTAATGTTACTCATGGTGTCCCTCACAGTATGTTCCACGTACCTCATACTTTAACGACTTTATCTTTGTATTGTAAAGAGAAGGTCATACTGACTTATTTGTATTGTCTCTGCTCCTTGCTGATGCTTCAGTTTCATACAGCACTGCATTATGCATATTTTTACGCATTCAGTGGCTCATATTTGTTTCTGGGCTCTCGTATTTATCGGTTTTATTTGCACATATCAGTTACTACAATACTGGTAAAATGACTGTGTTTTACTTTCACATGTGCTATTGAGTATTGAATCCGCTTGTTTGAGAAAAAGTGATTCGAAACATTTTAGGTAAAAAAAAAAAAAATTGACATAAACTCACATAAGTTTTCGGGCACTTTGAATAAAGAGTTTATTTTTAATAAAAGCATGAAAATTGCAGCGCAATCAATATTTGGTTGGACATCCCCTAACTAAAATTATATATACTCTTTATGCGCTTTGGCATAAACTCAGTTAATGTTTTATTTTAAGAATGTGCCATTTATTTCATTCCTGTCTAAGTGCTGCTTTTAGTAGAGCTTTTAAAGAAGTATCATTATTTTTGTTCTTCTGTCCAACTCACTCCATATGTGTTCCTTAGGAATTAAGTATGGAGAATACGGATACGTTTTGATAACTTCAGGACAGTAGTATAATAACCACAAACATCTTAGTATAATAACACAACATAGTATAATACACATTTTTTTAGGTTATGTGTTTAGGATCGTTATCCTGATAGAACTTGAATGTATTTTGCATTCCATGTTTTTATGCAGATGCTTTCAGGTTTTCATTAAGGATTTTTATATATTTATACTAATCCACATTATTTTTGATAAATATAAAATTTCTTATTCCAAAGGCATTGAAACATCCCCATACCATTAAGCCTCTATCCCCTGGCATACTAGTAGGTAATAGATTTTTTAAATTATCTTTTGCATTGATTTTTGCCACATATTAATTCATTCATCTGGCCTAAATGAATTAAATTTTGAAATTTGTGCAAATATAACTTTGTTTCAATATGATAAAACTTTAACTAACTCTTGTTGAGGAAGAATTTTTTTCTTGCCGCCCACCTATTTATCAGCATATCTTAAAAGATTCTTCTAAAATATTCTATGAAAGTTAACTTTTATATACAAATCGTTTTTCTAAATCTGCTCAACGTTTTACAATACTGATTTTAGCATTTTGTTTGATTTTTCTTAGACCAAATCTCCGATTCTTTGGTGGTAGCTTGAAATGTAGCATTTTCAACAGTTCCACGTAATTTCCTTCGTTTTATAACATGAAAAATAGTTAAACGCTTTACACCAAGGAGTTTTTAGTATTTCGAATACTTTTACTATTTTTAAAGAAATAAATTATTAAATTTCTAGTAGAATTTGTTGTTAAATTGTAGCGTCTTGAAATGTTCAATTCAGATATGGAAGTGTTAATATATTTTACTAAACAAGTAATAATTTTCAAAAGCACATGGTAATTCTACATTTAAAAGAAAATTATATCAAAACCATTACGTACTAAGACAACTCATCAATATTTTGGGGTGTCTGAATTGCTATCGGAGTTACTAATTAACATTTTTTGAACAAAGTATTACAAGGAATATTTTGATGATATTTATTTTACAACAACCAAGGCTTAAAATAGAGACAAAAAATGCGTTAGAAAAACTTTAAAGTCCATGTTTTAATAATTAGTTTAAGATCTGTGCAAATAAATTTCAAAATGCACAAGCGCCGAATATAAATATCAACCATCATATATAATTATAGTAATTTTTATGTAATTTAAAATTTAACTTAAAAGTGAACGTCTTCAGCTGGAATTTTGAATCAGAACTTCACACTCTGCATTTAGTACATGATTCTTTCATGGTGCACTGTTTTATATTTCTTAAATTATTAAATACATTTAACTCAGCACGTAACTTTTGGAAAACCGTAAAAGAAAAATAAGAAACTTATAAACGAATGTACCGCCATAATTGCTCTTTTGAGTACTCAAAAGTGTGGAATTTAAATATTAAGCATTTTCTTGGAAATTAAAAAGGATTCACTGCATCTGTTCTGTAGTATGTATTGCTTGTCATTGTAAAGTAGTGTAGATTCATCTACGCATGTGATGTGCTTTTTTTTTTCCCGGGGGAGGGTCTTTTATCTTCTTCAATAAACATTTTACAATCTCTTTAAAAGATAATTTTGAAATGTTTGAAGTCTTCAAATCAGATTTCCGAAACCATATTTATCATTATCATTAAAAATGTATCGATGCCACAGACTAGCAAAATTTTATTTAAAGGTAATTTCATTTGTGTAAACGCAATTTCTTCTGGCATAGTGACTAGAAAATTGCCAAATTCGGTTATGAGTAACTTTTTGTATTAATGATACCTAAAGAGACCGCATGGTAATCACTAAGTGTCATTTTCATTTATATCGAGAAACAACGAATCTAAAATTGACGATGGGATTTGACTGGCCTCAGGGTTCTAATTTCATTCAATCTTGTCTCGTGTCCTCTTAGAAGTATATGAGCAGCATATGCTAATTCTACCCCAAATCGAGAAATATGGCTTTTGCTAGAATTTACATGCTTTCGCAACAAAATTCTGAATGAAGCACTGAAACCGTATTCCACGTATATTTTTTTATAAGACATACATTTTCGCGCTTATTAATCTTTTTTTTAATCGCTTAAACTAATTACATATTTCTTTTTCTTTTTAGGAAATTGAATCTGTTATGCACTCTAAGAAATTTAGCTTATTTTAATGAAGTTAAATTGAAGCTGCATTGTTTTCAAACAATTGAACTGAAAAACTAAACATAAATTCTTTGCTGAAACATGACAGCTTTTATTTAGACTTGTTTGAAATATGTAGTCGTCATCAGTGATCAGTCTGCATGTTTCTCGAGTAATTGAATCATTTTACTTATAATGGATACCGTATTTGAAGTAGCAGATATGTCTGAAGAACCTGAAAAACTTGATTATGATAATATAAGCATCTCCAACAACAGTAACGCTACAGAAATGGTACTGGACCTTCTCACATTTACCCACGAATCAAGAATTGAAGCGATTGTGTACGGCATTCTTTTCTTTCTGGCTGCCGGAGGTAATGTACCCGTCCTTATTAGTCTGATCAGAAATCGCAGGCGAAAATCACGCATTCAAACCATGATACTCCATCTGGCCATCGCGGACTTAATCGTCACTTTCATTATGATTCCTCTCGAAATTTCTTGGAGGATCACTGTGGAATGGATTGCCGGAGATGCTGCCTGCAGAATCATGCTCTTTCTCAGAGCTTTCGGACCATACCTGTCATCGATGATACTTGTCTGTATCAGCTTGGATAGATATTCAGCAATCGTCCACCCTCTGAGAGTGAACGACGCTCAAAGACGAGCGAAGATTATGCTCTATTTTGCGTGGTTTACAAGTGGTATCTGCAGCGTGCCTCAGGTAAGTTTCTGAAATCTCAATGTCATTTTCTAAGATATTCGTCTCCATCCCATTTTTGAACGTTAAAACTGATACAACAATGTATGTATAATCTTAAGGGGAGTCATACACCTTCGAATATGTGACTGTTGCAAGAATTGGGATAACTCATTTACTTTAAAAGCAATTACTTCCATCTTTCTGCAGCTGACTACATAATATATCTGCTTTCTGAAATAGTAATCAAAACGTTTGTGTTGCCACAAACATTTTTATAATTTAATCCGCTTTGTGACAAAAGTTTTCGGCATGTTTCCACCTTGCGCGCAGAGTTTAAAACATTCTGTTGCATAATTTAATTCCATATTTAATATATAGCTTATATACCATTTGGAAACTACTGTAAACCAAAAATTCTAAGGATTTCATGTTACATTTTTATTTTATTTGGAGTTGAGTTTATAAAATGTATTTTATTAAAAAATTGATAATGTTTTCGTGCATAAAATTTTTAATTTTAAAATATTCAGCAGATTTTTGGTTTAGTTAGATAATAGTGCCCATATAAAGAATTCCACCAAATTTCAAGTACGTACCATTAGCTATTTTTAAAATATCGTGCGCGCAGGGTGGAAACATGACGGAAAATTTTGTCCCAAAGCGGATTAAATTACAAAAATATTTGTGGCAACACAAACTTTCTGGTTACTAGTTTCCAAAGCAGCTATATTATGGAGTCAGTTGTAAAAGGTTGGAAGTAATTGCTTTTAAAATAAATAAAATATCCCAATTCTTGCAACAATCACATTCTTGCAACATTAGAAGATCATAAGGGCCTTAAGGAGTATGAGCCCCCTTAAAGAAAAACTTTCTGAAATTTCTAAAATTTAAATTCTGCCCCTAATTTAAGCAAATCAAACGGTTATGTAGCCGAAGTCATCCTGTAATCCCTCATAGTCTTGTTCTTCTCCCATAAAAGATTATCAAGAAGTTAACCTAAAGCGGCTGGTTTAAAACAAATTCATTTCATGTTTTATTAAACCAATAAACACCCATTAACCACGTTCGTGATAATAATTTATTAACTGATTTGTTGACAAATTTAAGTATAAAACGTGAAGCATTGCGTGTGTTTTCTTAAACATACAAAAGTGTCATATATATTGGATATATGGAGAAGATATCCAAAATAGAATTCAGTATTAAATTCATGTTTTGTGTCAAAACCAGCATTTTTTCAAAGAACTAATTCAGTCAGATTCGCTATTCATATAGCAGCAGAAAACAGTGGAAATGAACAGGTTAAAAGGTTAAGGAATATTTAATATTACGAAAGAAGGTTCCGCTTCGGTGCTGAATGATAATCTTGACGGAAAGAAATTTGTCACAGGTAAAATAGAGATGACGATGCACGTGAACTGTAAAACAATTTTATTTCAAAATATGTGTAATTGTAGTTTAACAAAATACATTTTTGACGTTAGATAAACACGATTTTAGCATAACTCGATACAACATTGTCAGTACAACTGTTTAGTTAAAATAAATAATTACGGTTAAATAAAGAAATCACTTAAAAAAATTAAATAAAAAATGCAGTGAGCTTAATTTTATTCTGTTACTATTAACTGAAGTTCTGCGCTGTTTAAGGTTAAGTTATAAGTAAATTAAACGATTCATATTTTCTCGTAATTTACTAACGTTTAGCGAAGAACCTCTTCTAAAACTTAAACTTTAACAAATAAAATCTAATTTTTTTCCCTAAAACTCTGAATTAAAAATATAAGTTTTGAGATATAGTTTTCTTTTTTTTTTTTAAATTAAAATTATGTTATAAGTGTCGATATTATTTCTAACATTTCAGTATTTTGAAATTATTTATGCCCAAAAATTTTGATAGAAATTCATGTCTACATTGTTTTAAAGAAAACAATTGCAGATTCTGTTTTAATAAAGTATTCAGGCACGATCGATTCGTCTACCGGTCCAGATTATATCAGGTGATAAAAGTTCTGCCGTGCTCAAATATCAGAAAAGACGAACGACAAATGTACACATAAATATGAGGGATATAACACCTATCTATCAACCTTATGATATGTGACAGAAAAAAAATATTAGAACGATTAGTTCATTCTCATAACGAAACTTAAGTTACCGGACATAAAAAACAAATAAAGGAAGAAAACAAAGGGTTGCACCAAAGTCATATTTTTGCAGCGATAACGGCTTTTTCTGTATAATACATGCACGTTTTTTTAAGCACATACTCATGCCTGGTTTCTATTTATGATAGTTTACTAATGTAGGTCGAAATGTGTGATGCGAGATTCATTTGTTTTGGTTAACTAAAATGCGAAATGGGGAAATGTTTGCAGATACGTTTAAAGCATTGTCTTATATTTTTGAAATGTCCATTGGTTAATTGTGGTTTAATAGCATAGCTGGTTAGTTTATAGTTGATATATTGCATATTTAACACAGCTAAGGCGTTTGAGTACACTATCCTCTATTTAGCACAGTTTTATTAAAGAATCTTAAGCTAGAATAACTACGAAATCTTTATGTAACATGTTAGAGAGTTTGCTTGGCTCAAATAGAAAACAAACATAATACAAATCAAAGTTAAGAATTATAAAGATTTAAATCGAGGTGTTGAAATATAGAACTTACAAGAGATTAAATTTTAAGTTTTAAATAACATCAGGCTTACCTATTAGGCAATAATATCAGGAATATATTCCATAAAAGAAGGTAACATGTTGAAAAGAATGAAACACAAATACAACGTTAGCACATAACATTTTTAAGACTTCTTTGTATCTGAACATAAATAGAATCCTCTCTCGCCGGTATATATCGTTTGGCACTCGTTTGTTTTTGACGTTGCCGAGTTTCAATCACATGTACTGTTTCTTTTATAAAATCACAGTTCGCATTCTAACCTAATGCATCATAAACTATTAAAAAATAGCTCATAGCAATTTTTCCTATCCCATTGCATCGTTTTTCACTATAGTTTATTTAATTTAAATAAATATAAATAAAAAGTATAAGTACAATATTTAAAAAAAAAATAGATGTCAAGTTATAAGGAATAATATTCGAAACACAGGTACAATTTCTTTAATTAAGACTAAATAAAATAGAAACTCATAACAGCCTGAAAAAGATATAAAAGCATATTTCTTACCTGCAATAATCAGAAAATTTAAGCAGGGAAAAACACAATAAACGGTTTCAGATGAATCGGTTTGCTAAAATGCTGGTGAGCAGCAGTTTGGGTATAATAATAATAATTCTCAGTTCTCCTTAGCTTTCTTTAAATAATTCTCAATTCCATTGTCATACATACAATAGGGAAACTAAACGGTTTTCACATTTTTTAAAGTTTGATTTTAGAGTGTAAATTTTTAAAATACGAACTCCGCATAGCTTCTCATTTGTTGCTGTTAATTGTCAGATGCAGTTTCTGTATTGGACCTATGAAGCATGTAACTAGTATACCTTAATTGTTCACTAACTTGCGACACTATTGCTACTATTACTATCTAAAATAGAACCGACATTTCCACAATGTAGAAAAGAAGAGATAACGTTTTCTTTTTATTGGTGATATAAAATAGATTTTTCTTTGTTCATTTATAGAATGAGTATGTCGGCAATTCTCCGCTTACTGTTAAATTCCTTTTTTCGTCAACTTTCTGTTCAACAGCTTATAATAAATAGACTAGAAGAGAAACACGCTAATGTGACAATCAAATCGTAAAAACAACCTTGTATTTAGCGTAAGTATATTGAAACATTCAATCGATTTCGAGGGCAGCTAAAGGTCCCTCCTTATCAGGAGAAAGAAGAAAAATAAAGGGGAAGGAGTCTCAGAAATACGTGGTCCTTATCAGCGCTGCACGTGGTTATAACCGGATTTTTAATCAGAGTTGCACTGGCCGCCTACTTTTACTGAGCCAGGCTATCTGATCAAACATGTAACACAAAGGACAAGAAAAATTAGCGAAGTTAAAAATAGGGAGCGAGGGGAAACTGCAACTTCACGCTCAAAATCTGATCTTCGAATAATGGAAAGCAACCACTGAACGGATTTTTATACCCTCTAGTAATACCAAACGTGAGGAAGTAACGCCATCTATCGGCAAAAATAACTGAACTATCTTAATTCAGTACCAGAGGGTATAAAAATCCGTTCAGTGGTTGTTTTCCATTATTCGAAGTTCAGATTTTGAGCGTGAAGGTGCAGTTGCCCCTCGCTCCCTATTTTTAACTTCGCTAATTTTTCTTGTCCTTTGTGTTACATGTTTGATCAGATAGCATGGCTCAGTAAAAGTAGACGGCCAGTGCAACTCTGATTAAAAATCCGGTTATAACCACGTGCAGCGCTGATAAGGACCACGTGTTTCTGAGACTCCTTCCCCTTTATTTTTCTTCTTTCTCCTGATAAGGAGGGACCTTTAGCTGCCCTCGAAATCGATTGAGTGTTTCAATATACTTACGCTAAATACAAGGTTGTTTTTACGATTTTGATTGCTTATAATAAACCTGTGTTGAAAAGTAATCTTGACTAGAGGACTCTATAACATTTTTTTAGTATTACTTCAACAAGCGAAATATCATAATCTGTATCGTATACTCCATGTACGCAACATGAGAAGCTTTCAATAATAATCCTTCTCTGATTCATTTGCTACATGGATGAAGTTTCTTTCGGGAACTTGAAAGGAATCTTAATTTATTCGTGAAAATTTTTTGCAGTACACTTATCAATTAAGCGTAGATGCTTGACATTTTAGTTAAAAAGTCTTTTTTAAATGAATATTCTTCAACTAATTCTTATGCCGTACATACCGTACGGATAGCCTGATAGAAAGGTAGACGTACTTTCATATTTTATAAGGAACTTAAGTTTTAGATTTTCTAATCGCCAGAAGTCTTCAAAGCTCAGTTCCATTCATGAAGGCACTCTCAGAAATTATAATACATACTTTTGACAGTTTAATACTAGTGAA